ACAGCACCGCAACAAGCGAGTGACCTGTGACCTGTGACCTTACAGTATAATAATAAAAAAATAAAAGGGGCGCCACCTGATGGCGCAATCAAGTATTACAGTATCAATAGTACTATAAATGTAATACTGACTGTTACATTAGGCTATGTTCAGACTGCAGGGCTTAATGCTCAATTCCGATTTTTTTTGGTGAAATCCGATGTTTTTGCGAGGTCGTTCATATTTCCAATTAAATGCGACTTGTATGTGATCTCCAGTGTGAACATTAAACAGCCCGAAAGTGTCCTGCATGTGCACTGGAGACACGACGATGTCAACCGCAGCGAGCGTGCTCTGTGTTTACGGAAGTTGTCCAAACATGGACGCAGCATTCGAGCACCTGGTGATTTTAAAGTTCCTCTCGTACCGGAGCCAGAACATGAACAACTTACTTGTTTTAAGGAGGAGATTGAGAAGGAGAAGGACGAGGTTTTTGGCCGTGGTGTTTTGTGGGACAGCGGCAGCGACGTCCGTTGAAAGGAACGTGTGGATGTGGAGACGGAGCCAAGAGTGGTGAGTGGTGATGTGCTTCACTTCAGTGACATGGAGTTCATTAACAATTTTCACCTACTTCAGCGCAGAATAGTGACGTTTGTGGCTTGTTGATAACGTGTAGGTCAGATGAATGCACTTTGGCCGTTCAGACTGAAGTCGCATGTCAAAAGATCAGATATGTATCGGTTTCAGGAGCACATGTGGCCTGGGTCACATTTGAAAAAATCGGATCTATGTCGTTCAGTCTGTCTTTAAAAGATCAGATACAGGTCACATAGGGGCCAAAAAAATCTGATTTGGGTCACTTCAGGCTGCAATCTGAAAGTAGCCTAACTGTTGTGTTTCGTTTAAAGTCCGGTGCGGTTTATTTGTGAAAAAACATTTGAAAATAGACCAGACATATAATCCAGAGCGCCCTATAGTGCAGAAAATCCGGTACTATACTGTGAAACATTCCAGACAAAGCAATAACATCTCCATGGATATAAGCATTTGACATACTCTGACAAAGTGGGCCCTCACATTTGTGTAATTTAGCATTTTGTCATTCTCAATACCCAAGAGTTACAATAATTCCATAAGACATTGTTCATTTAAATATACTTTATCTGTCAATTCATTTCAGTTTCCACTCATCATACTTACCTGCAGCTCCACATGGTCCAGACAAAAGAGGAGGACGAGGTCGTGGGCTGGACCATGTGGAGGAGTAAACTGGTTTAAGCTCTGTTTCATTATTTTTTGTGTATTTGGTTTATAGTTATTTTGATTTTAAAAGGGGACTTGGGCTCAGGAAAAGACATCTTTGCTTTGAAACGTGACCTGAAACCAATCCTCACCTGGGGGACGTACTTCCAGCTGGGCCGATATTTGCACTTTAGTTGGCGTTAACCCCAGAAGTTTGTTTTAAAATAAATATTGTCTGGCAAAAGGCACTTTTTTTTTTTGTCGTCTGCCTCCTACATTGACCACGTCGGGCCAGTTTCCATCCATCAGAAGTTACACAATGCACCTTTACCGTTATTTCTTGGGTTTCATAAATCATAAGTAGCTTTATTGTGGAACCTTTTCTTACGTTTTGTGGAGTATTAGTATTTGAGCTGTGTAGCAAATGTTCCCTTGTGCCATTGTGTATTTCTTTCTTCATGATCCGAACAGCCCCCACAGTTGAGTTTTAAATCTCGTTTTAAGACCCACTTTTATTCTCTGGCTTTTAACACCGCGTGAGTTGTGTGGTCCTCGGTGTTTTTTTATTTTATTATTTTATTTTTAATGTATTTTTATTGGTTTTATTTATTGCTATTCTATGATTTTATTTGATTTTATTTTACTCATTTTATTATTTTAAGACTAGTTTATTTTATTATTGTAGTTATTATTATGTATTTGTGCAGCACTTTGGAAACTGTTTGTGAAATGTGCTACAGAAATAAAGTGGACTGGACTGGATGATCTGATCTGATATCTGACTCGAGATAAAGTATGTAACTTTCTCAAGGCGCCACATCACCTGAATGATTCAATGGAAAAAGAAAGTTACTTAAACCATATTTTGGAACATTCTCCATGGAGACGTTTTATGTGGAGGAAAGGAACATTTCCATGGAGACGAGCAGAAGGCCCTCACAGGCCCTTGTGTTTATTGTTTATTATAAGTTTTTCAGTGCAATAAACACAAGAGAAATTTAAATTAAAAAACTGCTTTTATTTTAATCTAATGTCCCACTAAAAAGATACATACTGTGGCTTTAAAGGGTTCATATCACGCTATTTTCTGATCTATAATATTGTTTCCTTATCACAAATATACCCAGAATTGTGTTTTGTTTCATTCCCACACGTTTAACTCACAAACCCGGCAGATTTAGGCCGAGTCTTCCTCTCAAACAGAAAAAAAAAAACATCATTTGTTACACTTTTGGTTTGACTTCATGACATCGTAAGGTGGAACAGAACATACTGGGCGTTGGACTAATCATGACATGTGCAAATGAACTCTTGAGGACGTTTTTATAACATGGCTGAAAGCTCGCAAGCGCCAATTTTACACATGGGCCCGGTCAAGCAGAAGTTTACAGCAAGGCCCAAAAATTCAAGTTAATGCATCTGATATAAAAAATGTATTCAACAGATACATATGTACTCTAGTTTATGAAACTGTTTACCTTTTTTCTGTACCATTTTTGGTTCTAAAGTTACATACGTTTTAAACAGACCATGTATGAAACATGGAACAAAAATTATTTCCCAAATTTCAAAGACCTGCAAATCATGTCAATAAATGGATGTATTTCATCATATCTTGTGTTATTCGACCTTTGAACTGTTGATGAAAGTACATGATTAAAAAAAAAAAGGATTTAAAATGATAAAAATTTGCTTGGAAGGACTGACATATTTTATAGAAATAGTTTCCTTTCATTTTGAAGTAATATTAAAGTATTCGGAAGAAAAAAAGCGACAAATTATGTAAAATCATGCACCTTCTACTTGTTTGCACAATTTTCCCTGTTACTTTTCCCTCCGTTACCATGACCTTTGTTAATAAAAAATGTCATTAGTCAAAAAGTAAGAGGTTTTTCAACCTAATCTTGTACCATATGGTAGAAAACTATATGAAGCAAATATTCAAACCAGTTTGTTAAGGATATGTAAGTGAGAACCAAGAGTTATCACTGTTTGGATTTATTGCCCAAAAAGTGCTGCATATTTCATTCCCTCCGTTACCAACATATTTTAATTTTTTGTCAACAACTTGAAAGAATATCACAGGTTTAACTTGACCCTGTTGGAGTGTAACTCTTTCCTACATTCTGATACTTTACTTATTTCAATAGTCCCTCTAGTTTGTGAATAAGAGCTATTTGAATGTAAAAAATCTGCCCCTGTTTCCCTCCGTTACCACTTGACCGGGTCCACAATAGGACCTTTAATAAACCAGTATAATACTTATTTATGATATTATTATATTTTATTATATCTTCCGTAGTAATGAATTATTCTGACCAGTCTAATGTTGTCCCCTTTTCACTTGGGAGCAGGAAACATAATTTCATGATCAATTATAGAGTAAGTGTTTACAGTAAAAACATGCCTATACTGGGACTTGATTCACTCATATCTTAATCTTTTACATGTATTAGTACAACAATATAACAGACTGGGTTTGAGTGAGAGATGGAATAAGATTTTAAAGGGACAGTCTGGAATTTTGGACATTGGCTCACTAGGAAATGAGGCCCTGAGTGTTGGAGACGTGTGGAGACACTTTTTTAAATCCATCCAGTCCTTGTATTTGCAGAGGTCACTGGTGCTAGACTAGTGCATGTCAATGGTCATAGTTCGACTGCTGCTAAAACCGGTCTTACCCACTCCACAAAAACACCCGAAACAAATCTATTACTTCAGACTGTCCATGTAAATATCTGTGTTGATAGAATAATGTTTGAAATAAAACTAACCTTGCATCGTATGAATCGTTGCACGTTGAGGGACTATTTTCCCATATATCAGTCCGCCACTGCCAAGCTTTTTATCAGGAAGTACAACTCGCTGCTGCTGCTCAGACATAAATCCTTTAAATGCAAGGTTGGTTTTACTTGTAAAATTATTCTATCGACAGACATTTAGATCGACAATCTGGAGTAATAATAGATTTGCTTCGGGTGTTTTGTGGAGTGGGTAAGACTGTTTTTAGTGTCAGGATAACTATGACCATTGACATGCACTAGTCTAACACTGGATGGAATATTTTAAAAAGTGTCTCCACACGCCTCCAACACTCTGGCTCACGAGGAAATGAGGTTCTATGTCCACAGTTCAGAAGTGTCCCTTTAAATGTCCATCCATCCATTTTCTTCCACTTATCTGGGGCCGGGTTACGGGGGCAACAGTCTGAGCCGTGACTCCCAGACTTCCCTCTCCACACACACTTCCTCCAGCTCCAGCGGAGGGATCCCGAGGTGTTCCCAGGCCCGCTGAGACATATGCCCTCCAGGGTGTCTTCCTCAATGCCTCCTCCCAGTGGGACGTGCCCGGAACACCTCTCCAGGGAGGCGTCCAGGAGGCATCCCTTTAAATGTATCAATCAAAATTTGGCTTTGAGTACGTTTCAAAAATTTTTTAAATTGCACTTTTGTTATATTTGTAAGCATTAAACAACTTGGAGGCATGCAGTGCAGTTTTAAGTTGCAGTGGAGTGGTGTTCCTCTACGAAGTGCGTTCAAACTGCAGAACGCACGTCTCAGAGTTGTTTAATGTGCTTATATATTGTGCTTCTATAAACTGAAATCTCTCAACTTTGAATGTGGAAAAACCTGTCCACAGTCTGTAAATGTCTCAAATATCAGTTATATCAGTGTTTTAAATTAAATGAATCCCTACATTTTACTCACAGCGTTTGAGAATGTGTGTACCCGTTGCTATGGCGATGTTTAATGGTGGACAATGAAAACTCGCAAGACATGTTGGTGGGTCAGCTTGCTACAACTTTTATTCCAAACACCTGCATATTTTCAGTACATCTTCCTCTTCTTTATAATACTCTGCTCTACAGCTCTCTCTAAACAAAATAATCTACACACGTTTCCGCTCAATACACCTATTTTACAATTCTCTGTAGTGTTTCTCTTATATTTGTTCGTAGTTTAAATTCTTCAGAACACGAAGACGACAAGACAGAGATTTTACACGGACAAAGTGTGGATAATGGACACGAAATTCTCACGCACTGAAAAAAATGTGACATTTAGTGACAAAAATAACATAAAAAACGACTCGGGAGACGCCGCGCAATCGGACGCCATGTTTAAAAAGAACTAGTGGAGGTTTAACTTCGTGCTTGTCTCCGTGGTGATGTCGTTTCTCTGCCTGGAATGTTCCTTGGTATGACTAAACGTATCCCTCTAGCGTTTATTCATTACGGGTGTTTCTATTGCTCAAAAACACATGAATCCCTTCTGCGAATAGGGGCGCCTCTCCACAGATCCGACCTGTAATGCAGCGTAGTGCCGTGACCTGCTTGTCTCCCGCGTGACAGGCGGGTTTAATCTATGCTGTGGAACATTCTAGACAAAGCAATAACGTTTCCACGGAGCCGAGCAGATGGAAATGTTACGCAGTGCACCTTTAAGATGTAGTTGTGGGTTAGATTTGAACTCATTTGTTTAAGAGCATTTCAAATAGATTAAACTACACAACAGTTCTGAACAATTGAATTCAATCATTTCTTTAGATGTATTACAAAGCAAGTATCCAAACTGCCCTTTCTAAATATTCACTCATTAGCTTTAAATTTTTCGTGATAATCTGTCAAGTCGTCTAGTATTAAAACAGTACACCAGATGCCCTCCCTGTAATAACCAAACCCGGATACAGTGACTGACTAGAGTGGCGTGCTGTATCTGGGCGACGTGTCTTGCCAAGAGACACCACGACAGAAGTGTGCGCCAGCCAGGTTTGTGCCAGTGACCTTCTGGTAGATGGCAAACGTTAAACCCAATATGCCACCATCGCTAGGGGGAGGACTTTAACAGTTAACATGAAAATGAATATTAAATCCCCTGAACTCTAAAGATTTCTTCAACCAAATTATAATTAAAAAGTGCTTTTAGTTTTGGTAGTAAAAACCGTTACTACAATAGTTTAGATACGATACTGGTCAAAAGAAATTCTGGTAATTCTTGTCAAAATTTGATTGTAGCTTATTAATTTTAAAGGTGCACTGTGTAACTTTTCTGGTGGAGGTTCTGTCCAATGCTTTTCTCTTGTATTTAACATCTTCATGGAGACCAAACCAGACCAAGTTACAGGTCAGATCTGTGGAGAGGCGACCCCCCTCTCAGTCAGATTTTTTGTTTTTCAAGGTATTTTTGCGCAATAAAATAAAACCTGTAATTGAATAAATGTAAGGCAGAGCTGTTTAATGTCACACTGTGGCACATTCTAGGCAGAGCCGTGACATCTCCATAGAAACAAACAGGTGACAGACCTCCCCAAACAAGAAGTTACACAGTGCACCTTTAAGTTGTCAAAAACATGGCGTCTGATTCCGCTGCGACTCTGACTGAAACAAACTTTTGGTGAAATAATCTCATTCAGAAAAAAGTGATTTTTTTTTATGGTGTTAGTTACATGAGAGGCACTTCCACCCCCTTCTCTGTGCGCGCCGCAAAATTAATCAAAAAAAAAAAAAAAAAAAAAAAAAAAAAAAGGCAGGGAAAAAAAAAAAAAAAAAAAAAAAAAATCAAACTTTATTATTTATTCAATCATTAATTTGGCTTCAAGTCTTAGCATCGCCCCCCAAAACAAAACTACCACTTAAAAACAGGAACGCGTTGAGTAGAAACAAGAACTGAGCGTCCACAAACTCTGCCTGAAAAATCAATGCTTTCCAAATGTTCAGTTTTTAAAGTGAGTATGACAGGAGTTTATGGTTCTCTAATTTTGATCTAATTTGGTGGGGTAATACTTGCTGCAAATATAAATTATGGTTTTACACTGATCAAGAGGAAGTTTGTGAAGAAAAGTTGAAAAATATGTTGAAAATGATGCAGGAAGTAGAGAGTTTTATTCTGGAGGGTTCCACGTCACACTACAGAGGATTCTGTCTAAAAGTTCAGCACAGTTCACCCCGGAATATTTTAAACATTATTTCAACAAAATAGGTGTTTTCTTAATTTTTTTTATTAATCAACTATTATTTTATTCTATTACTACATTATTCAAATATTTCTGTGTAATATTAGAGGAGGTTTTGGCCCAGTGCACTACATGGTTGCTAGGTAACAGTTACAGAAATCCATAGTGTAAAGTCATGAATTCCAACCAAGAAGTAAAATTTGAAAACTAAAAAATTGGGAACAGACTTATTATTATTATTTAATTTTTAGAAAAATCTTAAATATAATGATCTGAACTGCATTTTTGTGAAATGCGTAATCCAATCTGTCATAGGCACTTTAAGGTTTTAAAGGTTGTATGGAGGATTTTTTTTTTGTTTCAAATTGTCAATGAAAGTTTAAAATACCATTACAGAGACACAGCAGCCTTGTAATTATGATAATAAAAAAATAATAATAATAATGAAAATCTATCAACTGTGGACGTAGTGAGGCCAGATAAACATCAGCCAATAGATAACAAGGCTCCCTCATTTTCTATTGGCTGTTAGGTTGTCAATCAAACTCCCTACGTTTCTAGTGTAACTGACTCGCGGCATGTGGGGATTACGTGGTTTATGCAGCGGTTCTTAGAGGCTTTCTTAAACTGTAGCTTCCTCGCAAGTCGCACAAAGTTTGTGGAGATGGTGGATGAGAATCCACGACCAGTTCGCCACAAAGTCCATTTTTGAGGTCACTGAAAGAAGAAGAAAAGGGGAAAAGGAGCGAAACCAAACTGAGGTGATTCTTGGAGATCTCTTCCAGCGATTGCACGAATGAAGCAGAAGAAGGGTCTAAAAACTGACGTGTGGGTCGCTAAATTATTTCTAGACAGGTCACTTCAACAGTAATTCTGAACACGAACTGACTGTAAACAAGCGTGATTTTTAGAGTAAAGAGGCGGGAGGAGGTGTTTCTACTGAGGGAGTTGTGGAGGAGGAAGGTGGTGTCACGCAGGCACAAGATTTGAAAAAGGACTGTCGCTGTATTTCTCTTCCCTTAAAAAATCCTCTATACAAAATTTAAGTCAATTCAAGTCAATGTATTTACAACTTTGTGCGCCAATTAGCTTAAATAAGAAATAAGTTCAAGATTGTTGCATTTTTTTGTCAATAAAAATATTTTTTAAATGACGTTTTTCATAGTTTATTTTACAAAATATTTATTTGACTAAATGTTTTGGTCAATTTTTTTATTTATTTTTTAATAATCTGATGCACTGCCAAACAGCTGAATTTAGTTATTTGAAATGTTTTTTGTTCATTTTGTTTATTTTTTACAAAGGCAGGAACGGTTCAGATTTCTACTCTGACTATTTTGGACAATAATTGAGCCGATAATAAAAAGGAGTTAATTTGCTAATAAATTAAAGTAGGTATGTCTTTTGCGGCACTCAAGTTACAGAACAAAAACATCCAAACTAAAAAAGGAACTGAAACAAAGTAAAATTATGTACTGTGATTCAGCAGTTGGAAAGCATTGATTTTAAAAACTTTTACGGTGTAATTTTAGGCAGTTTCCAAGAACATTTGTGACGCTGGTTGAATAATTCAGCAGTGAGACAAACCCAGGAAGCCCCCACCAGAATGAGAGAGCCCAGAATAAAAACAAAAGTAAAATAACGCAAAAATCTGCTTCTCCATACAAACCACAACCTTATATCCCTCTACAATTATGTACAATTTGACTTTTTACAAGTAAAGCTCTCCACAGCGCCCCCAACGTTACACGATATTTAGACTTGTTTTATGTGTCCGCTCCCTATGTGGAGTTTTCATTACGTTTTTGTGTTTATTTTGACGTTGTCTTGTAGTTCCGCCTCCCGTCCCTAGGTGGCGCTGCTCTTGGAGAGGTTGGGGTAAAGAATGGCGGCTGTCACGGCGACCATCACTGCGACGACCGGCATCCAGGGGCTCCAGCCGCTCTGCGAAAAATACAGCGACAAAGGACAGGATGGGTTAGAGCGAGCAGGTTTGACGATGCTTTTGGAGAGAAGAGAGTCAAGCAAAACCAAGACCACAACAGACCACGTCCACAATTGAAGAAATTTAATCTGGAAATTTGATTTAAAAACCAAAATAAATTACATCTTTGCAAATAATAACATTTTATTTGAACTGAGATTCATCTGAAAAATTGTGTCAATCATGTATTTAAATAATTGAATATTATGTGAACTTTACAGTCTAAGACAACGGCCAAAATAAGTTTTATAAACAAATACAGCTGCTTTGAATGCAATTTTTAGTTGTATGCTGTAACTGTAATGCTGTTTTCGTATTTGTTATAATGTAGTTTCCTCATCACAAACATACCTGGAGTTGTGTTTTGTTAGTGTCATTCACACACGTCAAACAGAAAAACTCAGTTCCACCTTGTGATGTCGTGTGCTCCACCACGTTTCTAAAATCCGTACATCTTCACTGGCATAATTTTTCTGATTTCAAACTTGGAATTGCCAATCTGTATTGAACAAAATGTAAAAGGTAGCCGTTACCTTGAAAACTACCACTTCATGACATCACAAGGTGGAACAGAGCATTTTAAGCTTTGGAGATGTAGACAGACTAATAATAAAGTGCTACTCAAACATGTGTGAATGAAACAAAGCACAACTCCAGGTTTGTTTTTGAGGAGGTAACAACATTCTAACATGACTTAAAGCTCACAAGAGTAGGTTTTGTGTAATGTACGACCTGTAATTTAAACAAAAAAATAGATCTAGGATAAAAATCTTAATTTTATTGCCAGTTCTACCAGAAACATGCATTTGTCTGAAATCTTCTTTGATTTGTTAACTATTTAAAACATGAATTCACCCACTTATGTGTCAGTATTATAAGTGTTTATCAAAATGTAGATTCTAAATGTATGTCATAGTTTTGTTTTGTTTTCTCCATATATAAATTTTTTGTGGACGAGGTCGGTCTTTACAGTCACATGAAGCCCTTTTGTTTCCACAGAGTTTGCAGCAATTCGCTTTGAAAACAACAGATTAAATTCAACCTTTTCCTAAAAAAATAAATAAATTAATAAATTAATTAAAAAATCTATAAAGTCGGGATTTGTTCAATAATAATTCTGTTTATATTTTGTAATTTGGGGGAAAGCCAAGACAATTTAGCCATGGTTTTAAAGCTGCTACAAATAAGAAGCCAGCATTTAACTTAAAAAAAGCAAAAATATTATCAAATGAAACAATGCAAACTTGAGTCAACTGAGAGGCTTCACGTGAAAATACAAAATGAACAGCAAAGAAACCAATTCAAGCTTCAAACAAAAAAAACAACTTTCCTCAAACCAGCGGAAAGTTCAGAAACAAGCGACAAAATGCGTAAAATGGACAGAACTTAAAGCTGAAAACAAAAAAAGTAATGTTTAAAGATGATGAAAACAAACCTGAAATTTTAAATAACATGGAATGAGCAGAAATGGTCATGCAAAGAAATACAAATACTGAGAAACAAAAGAATGATGCAAAAGATGAGAATGAGTCTGGCTTTTTAAAGGAAGATCTGACTGGACTAGTTACAAAAGCTGTACTGTCTTGTTTTCTTTTGCAATATTTATAAATTTGATGATGCTACGACAAAGAAATAAAGGGAAGGCCTTGAAATCTTAAGTGTCAGTCTACACTTTTTCAGTCTTAAATATGTTTATGGAATAATATCAGAATATACCTGTGATGGAAATCTGGGGGGGGAAAAAACTACAACTAAAATCCAAAAGACAGAAACTTAAGTGTGTCCTTTAAAAAGCAGCAGACGGAGCAGAAGCGTCGAGAGCGGAGACCCACCACCAGTGAGTCAGACGTGAGAAAAGACATGTTTAAGACGGGAGACGTGGATGAAACGGAGACAGAGAGAGACAGAAAAACAGAGACAGACCAAGAGAGAGAAAGACAGAGAAAGAGGCAAAGAGAGAGGCAGAGAAACAGAGAGAGAGAAAGACGTAAGAGAGTGAGAGAGAGAGAGAGATGCAGAGACTGAATAAGAAAAACAGAGACAGAAAGAGAGACAGAGAAAGAGATGCAGAGAGAGATGAAGAGAGAGAGAGAGAAAGGGACAGAGAAAGAAGCAGAGAAACAGAGAGAGACGGAAGCAGAGTGAGAGAGACAGACTGAGAGACAGAGAAAAAGACAGAAGCAGAGACAGAGAGCGAGAAAGACAGAGAAAGAGAAAAAGACAGAAAAAAAGAGACAAAAAGAGAGATAGAGAGAAAAAACAGAGCACGAGGGGTAGAGAAAGAGAGAGAAAGAGGCACAGAGGGAGTCAGAGAAACAGAGAGAGAAACATAAGCAGAGAGTGACAGAGAGAGACAGACAGAGAAAAAGAGAGAGCGTGAGAAAGACAGACAGAGCAAGAAAGACGGAGAACGAGAAAGAGAGACAGAAAGAGATAGAGAGAGAAGCAGTGAGAGATGGAGAGAGAGAGAAACAGAGAGAAAGAGGGGTAGAGAAAGACAAAGAATAGGTACAGAGAGAGGCAGAGAAACAGAAAGAGATAGAAGCAGAGAGTGAGAGAGACAAGAGACAGAGAGAGCGAGAAAGACAAAGTGAGACAGAAAGACAGAGACAGCGAGAAAGAGACACAGAGAGAGAGAAGCAGAGAGTGAAGAGAGGCAGAGACAGAGAAAGAGAGAGAGACAGAGAGAGCGAGAAAGACAGAGTCAGAGAGAGGAGGAGACAGAGAGAGGAGACAGAGAGAGGAGGAGACAGGCGCAAGGAGGATCAACTCTGGGTCACTGTATAAATAACCACTTCTAAACCAGAAGCATCCCGTTTACAAATGTACAAATCTAATTGTTCTATGGAGATTTTAACAGCGTTGTGCTAAAAACAATAAATACTGACAGAAAAGGTCCTGTAGTACACAAAATTGACTTGCCATGCTGTTACCTCTTCAAAGACAGACCTAGAGTTGTTTTTTGAGTTGAGGAAATTACATTAGAAAATAGATCAGAAAATCACGTAATGTGGGCCCTTTAAATACATTTCTGTTTTTATTGATGTTAGCACAACTCTGCAAAAAAAAAAAAAAAAACTGAGAATGAAACAGAAATCTCACTATTTTTGACCCAGAATCTGACTCCAGGACATAGCCTCCTCCTTTCTCGTGGTTTTACACAGATTCTTTCACAGCTGATACCTTCTACCACAACTGTCCGAAACACCAGTACAGCACAGCCAGCACCAGGCCCATGAGAACAGCTGGGACGGGCTGTAGGAGGGAGGGCTAAGAGAGGGACAAATCAGGGGGCAAAATCAGGGGCAAAAATCAGGTGCAAAATCAACTGAAAACAGCACAAACGATGGGAGCAACAGCGCAGGATGCAGCCGAGTGGAGCCTGGAACGCCATTATTACAACTGGAGACAGGAGAGTTAAGGTCGGTTGGGTTTATGATGAGTCTGATCTCGACTTGGTTCATGTCTCTTTATTAAATGTTAGGTGATGTAAGATGTAAGATAATTTACTAGGTTAAAAAAACTAGGCATACAGACTATTCACACTTGAATTTATAGACATATTTTAGCACATTTCTATTGGACTGATACACTCAAAAAATATAGAGGTATTCATTTTGGTCAATATTGTCCACTTCTGGATCCAATAAACTGGTTTAGCTCCAGTTTAAGTCCTGATTTGCTCTTATTTTTTGCAGTGTTGTGAACTTTTCTGGTGGTGATTCCATCACCTGCTTGTTTCTATGGATATGTCATTGTTCTGCCTGGAATGTTCCACAGTATGACATTAAACGGCTCTAGTTTACATTTATTCAATTGGAGGTGGTTTTGTAGCCTTTGATACCTAGAAAGACAAGTAGACTGACAGTGAGCGGGGTGTCCTCTCCACAGATCTGACCTATCACTTGGTCTGGTTTGGTCTCCATTAAAATGGAAAGTTTAATACCATACCGTGAAACAGACAAAGCAATAACATCATCATGGGAGAAAAGTACTTTGTAGACCCTCCACCGGAAAAGTTACACAATGCACCTTTAAGCAACAGTTTGAGTCCCCGGTTGAGTCCCCGGTTGAGTCCCCGGTTGAGTCCCCGGTTGAGTCCCCGGTTGAGTCCCCGGTTGAGTCCCCAGTTGAGTCCCCAGTTGAGTCCCCTGCGTTAGCTCCATGTCCAGTTATAATAATGTAAATACAACAGCCACATTCACAACGACACCGGTTTACACAAACAATTACATTAACATAAACAATTACAGATTTGATTTCAACATTATGTTTCAAACTGATTATGCATTTAAAATGTGACTTTATTTAGAAAAGTGTTTATACTTGTATATAGTCAACTTAAAGGCAAACTGAATAAATTAACATAGCACTTAAGTGATGTTAAAGCAACAAACGTTTAGATTAATTTTATAACATGAGGTAGAAAAGGGGTTGAATGTAGTCATCTGATTTTAAACTTTATTATTGATACTTTGCAGTAGCATCGCACTGGGGGTGTTCTACATGTATGACCATGATGGAATGTTCAGCAGTTACTATGGTGCTTTAAATAAGACATTTTCAGGAGCCTGTGATCAATAGTGTTCATGTGTCCTGTTTAAGTGTTTGATTTTCAACAAAAAGGTGAGAGTGACAAATTGAAAAACTGCTGGCTAATGCTAGCTTGTGACTGTAATGTTATCTGAGATTTTATCTGAGACTTGTTTACCAGCACACATCAGCTCACCTGTTGAAGTCCCAACTAAACCAGTTCTTTCAGGTCAGATTGTTAAACTTTAATCTGAGCTTTATTTGAACACAAAGACAGAGCAGCGCCTACAGTTAGCACCACACCCACTGCAATGTGGATGACATCAGCTGCAAAGTATCAACAGCACTCACAGTTACCCCGGTCACAAGTATGTCACTCACAGTTGTCATAGTTACATGTATGTCACTCACAGTTGTCATAGTTACATGTATGTCACTCACAGTTGCCCTATTTACATGCATGTTACTTGCAGTTGCCATAGTTACGTGTATGTTACTCACAGAGGTGGTCTTGTCCTGCAGGAGCTTGAGGCTGCTCTTGCACTGCTCCAGCTCCTTGTGGATGTTCAGTTTCTCTCTCTCCGTTCGCTCGTATCTCTGACGCAGGTCCGACAGCTGTGACTGTGTGTCCTCGTACTGAAAACACAAACGCAAACAAATGAGGGAAGGGGTACGAAAAGCTATGCTAAATTAATATTTCTGGATTTCAGATGAAGTGACAAAAACATGTAAGACTTTTGCCCAAATCCAGATTTTGGTTTGGTTTTTGTTTGCGAAATCCCTCAGTAGTCCAGGCAGGAGAAATTCAATTCTGTCAACTTTTGTCCAGTTGACAAAATTGACATTTTCTCCTTTGCCAAGTCTAAAATTATGTTTGTAAGAGTGAAAATAACAAACTAGCCATTTATAACTGCATTAGATTTTAATTATGATCTATTTCTCAGTCTACAATTTTTTCTTTAGTTTTTCCAACATTGTCCAGCCCAATAACTAGGACATAGTAACCAGCTCCATCCCAGTAAAACACCATACACCCACAGAATTCAAAAGTCATTTCATTAGTATACGTGCAGCTGTGTATTATGTAGTGTATATGTAGCATGCTGACTTTTTACATTTAAATGTCTCGTACTGCTATGTTCAACACTTTAGAAAAGGTCTTGTTTATAAAATGTGCTTTACAAATAAAGCTGGATTGGATAAGTCACTTGGCGTCATCATTTATGCACTTGCATTTAACGCATTTGGGTCATGAAGACATATCCCACTCACTAATGTTCATTTAGCATCATAACTTATTTTATCACACAGTGATAAACTTTTTTTTACTTTGTTTTAGTGCTGACAACAGTGCTAGCTAACACTGCAACATCATGTTAAGAGCACAGACAGCGGCGCTTTCTGCACTCAGACTGCGCGCGCATCCGCTGTGTTGATAAACAAATAATCCCTGTGCAGATGTTGTGTGTCTGTGTGCACCTCTCTCTGTAGCGTGCTGGTGCGCTCCTGGGCCTGGTGCAGTTGGGTCTTCAGGCTGCTGGCGTCCTGGAGGTGCTGGTTTTCTAAAGAGCCCAATTTGTCCTGAAGAACCTCCTCACGTTTCTCCAGAGACTCCAGACTGCTGCTCAGGACCTGGCTCTGCTGCCGAGAGCTGGGGCACACCAAACACAGAGGATCGATATTGCATCAACTGTAAGGATGTTTGTATATTTCTACAACAACTGTTCAATTCATTAAAAAATAATTAATAATTATTGGTCAAGACATTATGTTTAAGCTTCAAAAGATGTAAAAACTGACACGTCTGAACCTCTTATGGGATGCCATAATATATATTGGAGTATTGAAAACGCCTCAAAGTACAGCAAACGTTATGACCTTTGTGGGTCAGTTGTTTCAATAAAAGAATACATTTAAATTCTCATTTTTATTTTTTTTTTTAAAGCAGGTGCTAGAGCAGCCTCCAGTGTTTTTGGAGGTGGTTTGATTTCTGCTGAAATTGACCAAACGTTTAGTGATGTTCTGTCTCTGTCTGATGAGACATGTCCCATTTTCAGCTGAGGTCTCTGATTAGCTCAGACAGCTGTCAATCATCTGTCAGTCTCCTCCTCTTCCTCTGATTCAGCTTCTGCTCAAATCAGCAACACTAAAAATTTTAAGTTTGTTTAGCCACTTTTCTCAATTTATGGGGGTGGCAGGATGGTGATGTACCTGCTGAGCTCATCTTCCAGGTGGCGCAGTCTGTCAGTCAGAGTGGTGCGTTCAGCTCTGAGCGCGTCACAGTCCTGCTGCAAACTCACACACTTCTGCTGCAACGCCACACACTCGGCTGGGAACAGAGAGGAGGGGCTGTTACAACTACAGACACAAGAAATACAGACTTCTGTCATGATTTAATGAGTTCATAAATTAGTGCAAGTATAAAAATACTGTATACGAATTGGTATGACTGTATCTTGCACTCCTCTCTAAGGGGGTGGGCCACAGTAGCTCTATTGGTAGAGTGTCCAGTGACCCACAGGTTGGTGGTTTGATTCCAGCTCCCACAGATGAATGTTGTTGTTGTTTTGTCTTCATCCACCTCACCCCCAGTGTCTGCGTATGTATGTATGGTGTATGAATGTGTGTGTTAAAGGGTGAATGATTCCTTGGTGTAAAGTGCTTTGAGTGCTTTAAAGGTGGAAAAGATGATTTACCTCTGCTGTGTAGGCCAAGTAACATGTCCATTCATCATTCTTAATTATCTTTAGTTGCAATGTTCTGAAGAGAGCACCTTGTTTTGTGTTTTATCTTGTTTCTTTTAACCACAAACATACTCCTCCATTTGAAACAACAGATGCATGTGTATATCTGTTAAGAAGACTTTGATTTTTTTTCCTGACATTTAGTCACATGTGCACTGATCATTATTTTTCACATTTTGTTATTTGTAAACCACAGTATTTATTCTAAAGCACTTAACAGAAACAAACAGGTCCATGGAGTCAGTGGGTCCTGCTCTGTGGGTGCTGTCTGTACCTTGTATTTGGCTGTGGGTGCTGGTCTGCTGCTGGCTGAAGACCTCTTGCAGATGGCTGATTTCTTTCTCGTATTTTGTGGCTGTGTTTCTCCACTGCTCCAGCTCCGATCGCACAGACGCCAGGTCAGACTGAAGAGCACAGATCTCCCTCTCTCTCTCTGAGGAGGCAGAGTCGAGTGCGTGACGAAGGACGAGAATCTGAGGCAAAAGAGAAAGAGTTTAGACAAGGTACAGATCAGGGCCGTAGGTCTTTAGCTGTTGAATCAATAAATTAGTCGACCACAAGTGGTATTTGTTTATTTCTCTCTTGTAGACAAGCATTTTACATTAATCACTGAGCATATGACTCTCTCTCTTCTCTTTTTATGTTAATTTTATGATGATTATTTATGTTTTGATTTGTTTGTGTTGTGATTTTTATTTATTTCTTATTCTGTAAAGCACTTTGAATTACTTTGTGTACGAATTGTGCTTCTCAATGTCTCAAACTTCTCACTGTTTAAATCCCTTCCTCTACTCCGCTCTGTCCGCCAGTCAGAAAAAAATGAAAATGAAAAACGGTCGTCTAATCATTTCATTTAGATCAGTCATTTCTCACGTGTAGGTTGTATGGAGTCCCCAGAAATTTTTACAAGAGAGGTCCAGACTAGATGTATAAATAGTACACATTTTAATAAAGGAAAGGCATGGGAACTGCTTCTGTAGGGTCAGTTTATAATCATTATTTTTCAATAACATCTTTATTGACCCGAAATTTATATATTATTCCTTATAAGACCATAGCTCATCAGGTAGGAGAATGATGTGGGGTTTACATATCCACAAGGAGAGGATATGGATAGGAGAAAAAGGCCGGGAACTATTGTTTTAGATTATTAGTATTTATATGGAACCGCAGCAGAAAGGAGAAGTGAGGAAGCTTTTGTGTGTAAATACATAATTTCCTAGTATTTTTTTTTTCTGCATAAATAGTTGTTTTTACATGAACTTCTGTGCAGTTGTAATCCTGAATGCAGTTTGGGTCAGATACAAAGAGGCACATAATGGAGAGAGCTGTAATATAAGGCATTACCTCCTCCTGCGCAGAGTACAGTTCCTCTCTGGTGCTGCAGATGGCGCTCTCCCTCTGTTCTCTTAGAGCCTCCATATCTGCCTGAAGCTTCAACAGCTGACCTGCGACATACATGAGCACAAACAAAGAGATAAGACAATTAAACTAAACTGTTATCCCTTTAGTGATCATGTGAAACAGAAGCACGCAACCTCAAACCTCAAAGGATAGATTTTTCTTCACATGAACTCAATTTTACTCTATTGTGCTCTGGTATTTTTGCACTGGAAAAGATTGAAAACCAAATAATAAACAAAAAAATGAAATGGATCATTGGTGTGACAGTAGTAGAGTGTTTGGTAGAGCAATATCTGTCTGCACTGGTGTATCAATGTGTGTGAATGGGTGAGCTTTGAATGCCCTGAGAGTGAAAAGGTATAGCTGTAAAAAAATGCAATATAAAGTAATGCAACAAAACTGTTAAAACAGGTGGAACAATCTTATTTACACTTTAAAAGGGAGACAAATAGAGGAAGAAAGAATGAGGAGCAGGTTAAAAACAGGGATGACAAGCAGATACATTTCTACAGTCCACAACTGTGTGCACAAATTTGAGTTGTTTTATTAATTGTTATGAATGCCATTTGTAGGACTTTTGATCACTAAAAGGAATATTTTGCTTGTCTATGTCTTAATTTTCTATCACTTGAACCTCATATGCCTATGGAGATAGAAGAGGATGATGTTTAACAACTGTAACTGCAGATATACAGTGGCCTCACCGCACTAAGCAGTTATATAAATTGAGAGTATGTAGTATATTTAGTGTATTTCTTGTATTCATGGATAGTGTCTCAGGTGCACTCACTCTGCAGGTACTGGATCTGTTTGGTGGACTCTTCTGTAAGCTGGAGGTTGCTCCTGCGCTCCTCCTCCAGAAGAGCTAAACCACATTTATGAAACAAAGTAAATATTAACATTAACACAAAATAAGTATCACTGTATGTAGTAGGGACACACTGATTCTGATACTTCAGCTTTAAGTATCTGCTGATACCAGTATCAACCAATATCATTGCACAGACTAAAAACAGCATTTATTAAGTTTCAACTAAAATAAAACAAGACAAAACTGATCCAATGTGCCATGTGGCTGTTACTAATCTCTCATGTTTTACATCAATTTGTATGTCCAAATATTGGCTGATATCCAGCTGATTTTCCAGTATTGGCGCATCCCTAGTATGTAGTATGTAGTATGAGTCCATGTACCCTGGAGCTGTTGGCACTTGTGCTTGCCAGCGTTGGCTCTCTCCTGGGCCCCGAGCAGCTCAATACACAGGTGAACAGGTGGTGAATCACCTGATTACTTTGTACCTGTCTGAGAATGCAGATACTTTTTTCACAAATACCTGCGAACATAGTAAGATGTCATTACTTGATAAATATACAACTCCATTTTGATCAGAATTAGCTCAAAACATGTTTAAAGTAAAAGTACCTTTAAGCCGATCGGGGCTGCCCAGGTTATCGTCCTCAGATGTTTGATTGTTCTGGAGGTGAGCGTCCATCACTTCTACAAAAAACAAATGAAAGAAATAAGTAGGAAAGGAACTAAAAGCAAAACATGATTCATAAAAAAGCTGTAAAACTGAGATCTAAACTTGTTCTAAACTTACCGTCAAAGTTGGCAATTTTGTGAAGAGCTGAACTGACAGACTGTTTGACCGCTGTGAGACAAGAAAAGATGACAGAATTAGATATAAAACAGTATATAAAATAAAAGTTCTTAGCTAGTGAAGAAACAAAAACATAGTCCAGAGCAATGAGACGAAATCCTCAAAATGAACAAGCAAAACAATGACACAAGACAAAGCATCAGACATGATAAATAATACTGATGAGGCATAACAATATGAGCACCTGACCAATTTTAATATAGAGGGACTAAAATTCGCTCAAGTTCTTCAGTAATTTGAGCTATAGTAGAAGTCTGTTGGACGTGACCACGCTGTTCCTTCCATGGTCATATTTAGAGTTAAGGAAAACGAGCTGCAGTTAAACAACACTATACCAGGACTAATCCAAGACTTAAACAGGGACTAAAACATGGACTAAACCAGGGACTGAATTCTGATTAAACCAGGACTAAACCAGGTCTATTTCAGCCCTTGTAGATATCAACAAATGTATCCCTTGAAGACTCCACATGAGCTGGACTAAACTAAGAGAAACGAGGACTAAACAAGGACTAAACCAGAACCCAATCAGAACTAAATTAGGACTAATCTAGAACTAAACCAAGATTAAATCAGGATTATACCAGGACTATACCTGGGCTACACCAGGACTATATCAGGTCTTTTGCATCTCCAGTAGATACCAACAAGTGTACACCATGAACACCCAACAGGAGGTGGACAGACTGATCTAAGAGAAACCAGGACTTTGGTAAACCAAAACTACACCAGGACTAAAACCAGGATTAAATCAGGAATGAACCAGGACTAAAACCTGGATTGAACCAGGGCTACTCCAGGGCTACTCCAGGATTGAACCAGGACTGACCAGGACTGAACCACAATAAAACCACGACAAACCCAGGACTACACCAGGACTGAGCTAAGACAAAACCAGGACAAAACCAGGACAAAACCAGGACTAAAACCAGAACTACACTAGGATTGAACTAAGACAAAACCAAGACAAAACCAAGACAAAACCAAGACTAAAACCAGGACTAAAACCAGGACTAAAACCAGGACTAAAACCAGGACAAAACCAGGACTAATGCACCCTCAGAAGATACCAAACTCTTACTGAGCAGAAATCTCCAATAGCTACAGTTCTGGAAATACTTAAACCCAATGTAGTTATTAACAAAATCAATCAAAATCATTAACTTTAAAGATTTCTAATACAGAGGAAAAAACAATTCCCTCATTACTACCCATTAATACACACTGATCATGCTGTTATGCCTGATTGGTTTAAAACAAAATAAAAATAAATAAAAATAACAATAACAGAAACGTCAAAATTCCCTGGTGCTTTGAAGTACTCACGCGGACATTCTATTAGCTGCTGTATTCGAGTAGAGTCTCCTCCGCTGTTGTTTAGGTGACAGTTATCTATTAGAAACAAGAATCGTCCATTACCGAAGATTTTTATTTAGGATTTTAACGACGGACAAAGAAGGTACAGTAAGCGACAAAAACAAACAAACAAACAAAGAGAAAAGAAATGGCACAGGAGAAAAACACGTAGAAGCAGATGGTAATGCGAGAAGAGATAAAGGAAGTTGAAATATGAATGTTCAATAGAAAAGGAAAGGAGGTCTTGAATTTCTACAACGCAGAACAATGACCAAGCTAACAAGACTCAAAGTTACCTTTTAGCTAAATTTGTAACTGTTGTGGCATTTTAACTGGCAACTTTCTAAACAAAATACTCAAAATCAAACAATTTATCGACCAAATGGAGGGACTTTCAAGAGTTTCTAAAATTAAAATTAAAGCCACAGTATGTTTTTATATTATTTTAAAAAGGTACACTGAGCAACTATTCTGGTGGAGAGTCTGCTGCTTACTTGTCTCCAAGTAGATGTTATCACTTTCAGTGGAATGTTCCATGGTATGACATTAGACATAGTCATGTAGCATTTATTGATCATGGTTGTTTCTATTGCTCAAGACTTCCTTCTGTGAATAGGGGTGCCTCTCCACAGATCTGAATTGTAATGTAGCATAGTGCTGTAACCTGCTTGTCTCCCTCAAGATAAATGGGTTTATTCGATATTGCAGACCATTCCAGACAAAGAAATAATATTTCCATGGAGATATGCAAGTTATGGACTCTCTACTGGAAATATTACGCAGTGTACCTTTAAATAAAAGCTTTTTTTTCTCATTTTGGTTGTGTTTATTGCACATGGAAACACTGCTGTTATGCCTGATTTCCATGGAAATGTTGTTCCTGTGGCTATAATTATCCTTTGGCATAAAACTTATCCACCTCCATAAGAATGTTCCAAAGTATGTTTTTAAAGGGCCCACATTACACTATTTTCTGATCTCTGTTACTGTATAATGTTGTCACCTCTTCAAAGACATACCTGAAACTATGTTTTTCTTCATTCACACACGTTTAGCACAGGAAACAATCTGTTCCAAAATGTTACTCAAACATATGTGAATAAAACAAAACAAGTCCACGTATGTTTTTTAAGAGGGTAACAACATTATAACACGGCTAAAAGCTCCTTAAGAGGAAATCATGCAAGTGATATGACACCTCCAGAAAGTTACACACTGTAAGAAAGAGGTCTGGAGCGTGTACACATTTAAATGTTAAATACTCACTCTTATAACCTAAAACGTTATTAAAACCTTAAATACTGCAGTAGAATCAGAGACAGTGCATTACAGCTTTTGTTCGTAAATCTACCATTATCTTCCTCCCCATCTGTGTCTGTGTCCTCGTCCTCTTCCTCGTGCAGTGACCCCTCTTGCTTCTTTTTGTCCTCTCCGGGCTCCTGTACTGCGGTGATGAGCTCAGAGTGAATGTCCCCAACATTCACTACTTCTGTAGACTCACTGTCCTCCTCCGCCTCTGGAGACAGTTCTCCTTCTCTCTTTTGGTCCTTTTTGTCCTCTTCGGGCTCCCCTACTGGGCCGCAAGTTTCTATATCCACATCTGACCACAGCGGAGATAGGTTTGCGATCATGAAAATTCCAGTATGGCAGTGAGAAAGTTCAGCCAAAGATGTGAAAATAAAACAGTGATTTGATTCCCGTTTTGCCCAGTTTTTCAGTGCATCACCAGGTCGAAAGATGGGGTGGATTTTAGCCAAAAACGCACCAAAAATCACCACAGAACCAAATCACCATATACAGAGAATGACCGATAATAAAATCCTAAAAAATGTGTAAATCACCACACTATTCCCGTATTTCCTTCTTGATACCTTCCCATGCCAACTTTTACAATCTGTTATATTTCTATGATTTAACTTTAGTCCAAATCTCCAAACCCACGTGAAACGATTTATCAAAAGTGAAAATTCAGAAAGAACAAATAAAAAGAAGAATGAACGAATGATGATGAACAGAACAGCATTGAAAAGAGATGAACCACAGCCATGCAGGGAGTTCATACATTTGTTAGGGACTCAGTAGATTCTAGGCATTTTGTGTTGGCATTGGCATGATAAATATTAGAAGAAACAAACTACAAATTGAAGAATTCTACATATAAAAATGATTGGGCACTCTTTATTTTAATTAATTTTAATTTTAATTAGTTGTTTATTTTATGTTTTACTATTTTAATGAAAGTGACTTTGCCTGGAATGTCCCACAGTTAGGTATAAATGTATCTTTCTTCATTACAGCCGTTTTTTTATTGAGAAGAAAATACTTTGGTGGAGTCTCCTATTTGTTTCCATGGAGATTGGCAAGTTTTATACCATTTTGTTGAACATTTCAGGCAAAAATATATCTCTATGCACAAAAAAACAAAACAAACACCACTTAAAAACTACTGCTCCTTTAAGCTGGCAAAAAAACTCTTACTTCACAAACTGGCTAAAGTAGTTATGGTTAAGCTAAGAAAAGGTAAGAGGTCGGGCTAATGTATTCTGTGTTATTTGAACATGAACTTTCTTCTACAAGGCAGGAGAGATAGGCCTCCCTGACCGAAATGCCTAGAACTGAGAGAGCCCCATGCTTGTTTGTTTGTTAGTGGATGAAGTCGATGAGGAGGAGGGGTTAGGACGCAGAGAGCAACTGTGACTGGACGACGGGAAGCGGTCACATGACTCACCCAAACTGTTGTTTTCTTTTATGCTTTTCTCTTGAAGCTGCTCTAACCGCACTGTGAACGGCAAACCCATAAAAGGAAACAGGAAGCAGAGGGGGTGTGGTCAGTAGAGGGGCGTGTGATTGGTTAGTTTAATTAAGTCAAGCATCATGGGATAATTATGCTATTTTTGTGTCAAGCAAGAAGTATACCATGTTATTTTCCAAAATATATATAAACATAAACTCTGTTAATTACGCCTTGATTTACTATAGCTTCCTGAAAACTTCGGAAACAAAGTATTTATTTATCTATCTATATCTATATCGATATCGATATCGATATCTATATCTATATCTATATCTATATCTATATCTATATCTATAGGACTATGTTTAAATCTAGCCTCAAAAAGTTTTAGCTGCATATGACGTTTGTATTGAGAAACTGAACAAGTGTGGTTATTTAGTATTTTTACGTGAGTTTTCAGATCTTAAAACATGTTTTTCTTTGTTTGCTAATATATGTATTGTGTCACTATGGAAAATGCTGAACATTCCGCCATAGACATACAGAGAGAACACCCCCAGCATGAAAAAAATGCTTTGGAACTGCATGTTCTTAATGTACATTTAAACTGTACAATAAAACATTTCTAAACTAAATATCCAACTATAAAGCAATAATCAGTACTATTCATCATTTATTAGCATTTTCCTCTGATTTCACAGCCCAGTTGGGTATGAAAAATAAGATACTAATCCATATTAAAACGAGAATTGATACTGAAAAATGACAAAATTTTACCTTTTCAGAGTAATTTTAGACTTTATCAGCACCAGTTTAGAGCCAAATGGTAACTTAAAAAAACACATTATTACTTTGTGCTGAAAATTACATTCCAATTTCTCTCTTTTTTCCATCATTCCAGTATTAAAGGTGCACTATGTAACTTTTTGGATGAGAGTCTGTGACCTGCTTGTTTTTTTATTGTTTCGATGGGTATGTCATTGCTCTGCCTGGAATGTTCCACTATGGGCATTAAACAGCTCTAATTTACATTTATTCAATTACAAGTAGTTTTATAGCACAAAATACACAGAAAAAAGGTATTCTGACTGTGGGTGGGGTCGCCTCTCTACAGATCAGACTTGTAATTTGGTTTGGTTTGGTCTCCATGAAGATAGAAACGTATAAAACCATACTGTAAAACATTCCAGGCAACGCATTAACATCTCCATGAAGAAAAGCATTTGACGGATCCTCTACCAGAAAAGTTACACAATGCACCTTTAAAATTGGCATTGATTATTGAGCCTTTCCCTTAACATCGAAAAGGAGTATTTCAGTATCATGACTACAGCTTACAGGCACTGCACTATAGCCCCGGTAGCAGCGCCACTTGTGGCCCATACCTTGCAACGCGGCCAGCCTCTCGTTGGTGAAGTCATTGTCCGCCTGCAGAGCCTCGATCCGGGCCTGAAGAACCTGCTCCTTCTCCTCCATCTCCTCCACCTTCAGCTCCAGCTCTCTGCGCTCAGACACGCCCCTCTGTGTCTGCTCCTGGTATTGCACCTCTGCAGCCTAAAGACAATCACACGGATCTCTCAGAATGTTGAGTTTATGTTGTTTGTTGTGTATGTTTATTAGACATTTTATGCCTGTATTAGTTTTGTTTAATATGGATGCTACAATAAAATGTATATTTTAGCAGCCAATAACCAATAAGGCTGGTTCATCAATTGCAGCTAATATGGGGCAGATTGTGATAATTTCCCTAAATACACAACACAATGTGTATTTACTATAAATCTAAATATTGTTTATGGCACTACTGTACAAAGAAAATATAGGAAAAATAAGTGTACTGATTTTTTAATATAAACATTGCAAATCATAACAAATATCTACAAGAAAAGAAAAACTATGAATTTCCCCTCAAATTATTCATCCCTCCATGCATTAAGCACTTTCATAACTACTGCTGTACCACTGTAACTGCCTTTTTAGTCTGTTTTTATGCTAAGGGTTCTTAAGTATTTAGATTTTTTTTTTTTACTTTAATTGCATTTAACATGCCGTGTCTGTATCCTCCTTATTGTGTTGTGTGTTTTCTGCAGATATTCAGCTCTTCTTGCACAGTAAATTTTAAACATATTTGATTGAGTGAACTTTCCCCAGTGTGTCTCACCTTGATTTTGTCCGTGAGCTCTTTGATCTCATTCACGGCGGCGTTGTATTTATTGGCTAGCTCCCTCAGCTCGTCCTGACTCCGCTCAGACATCTCCTTCAGGTGAGTGCACTCGTCCTCTGTGTTACTCAAGGAACGCTGCACACAAAGCAATACATGTAAAGATGCTTGCTTCTATGGATATGTCATCGCACTGCCTGGAATGTTTCACAGTATGACATAAGACAGCTCTACCTTACATTTATTAAATTGCAGGCCGTTTTATAGCTCAAAAATACCTCAAAACTGGCATTCTGCCTGTGAGCAGAGAATCTGACCTATAATTTGGTCTGGTTCGGTCTCCACAAAGATAGAAGAGTTTAATACCATACTGTGAAACACTCCAGACAAAGCAATAACATCTCAGTGAAGAAAAGCATTATATGGGAGCTTAAAAGATTTGTTAGAATCAATGATACAGCAGATGTGGTTCTTTTTTTCAACAGCTATAGAGCTCAACAGTCAAAACTAACAAACGACAGAGGCTAACCAGCTCTGTGGCAAATTAATGTCCACAACATCAATATTTTTAATCCAATATCAAAACCTAGAAATCCATTAAATGTTAAACGTTGTAATAACTTTAAATTCTGTATGTTTTTAATGGGATGAATGGGGACCCAAGAGGTGGACAGGATCGTAAAGCTTCAAAGCGAAGTGGAAGTGTTGCAGCACAATCTAGTGGCTATACATGGAAATACACATTTTATGTTTTAAATAAATTAACCCTATTTTAAGTACACAAACCAAAAACAGCTGCCATCACTATAAATAAAGCAGATGACCAGTGCAGCCTGTGGAGGGACAGTGGTACACAGAGTAGAGATAGTTTCATTTCAGTTATTTATTTTTATTCTGAATACATTGCCAGAGCTCAAAATGCTGTTCCAACTTCCACCTGATGATGTCATGTAGTCTTCAAGTGAACAGCTACCTTTTACATTGGGTTCAGTAGAAATCAGCAATTCCAGGGCTGAAATCAATCCTTCAAATGATTCTAGAGAAGGTGTATGGAGTTTAAGAACACCGTGGCACACTTCCTGTCTTACCGCATGACATCACAAGGTGGATTTGAGTGTTTTCTGTTTGAGAGAAGAACTCAGCCTAAATATGTAGGATTTGTGTGTTAAACGTATGTGAATAAAACAAAAACACAACTCCACATATGTTGGTGATGAGGAAACATTATAACATACAGTAGATCAGATAACAGAGTAAAATGGGCCCTTTTAAATACAGTTGTTCAGTCCCAGGGCATTGGTGCCAGTGTCTCACCTCGACCTCAGACAGTTTCCGTACGACCTCAATCTTCTCCTGCAGAACTCGCCTCAGAGACTCTTTGGCCGTGGTCTCGTAGTTGTGTTTGTCCTCCTGCAGCGCCAGCAGCTCTTTACGGATGCCCTCCTCTGTCTGCGACTGCGCACAGAAGAAAGTCAGTTAGCGATTGGTTGATTCATACCATACTCCCTGCAACTGTACAACTCACCCTTATGTAGCTGATAATACTCCCTACAACTGTACAACAACTCACCCTTATGTAGCTGATAATACTCCCTGCAACTGTACAACTCACCCTTATGTAGCTGATAATACTCCCTACAACTGTACAACAACTCACCCTTATGTAGCTGATAATACTCCCTACAACTGTACAACTCACCCTTATGTAGCTGATAATACTCCCTACAACTGTACAACTCACATTTATGTAGCTGATAATACTCCCTACAACTGTACAACAACTCACCCTTATGTAGCTGATAATACTCCCTACAACTGTACAACAACTCACCCTTATGTAGCTGATAATACTCCCTACAACTATACAACAACTCACCCTTATGTAGCTGATAATACTCCCTACAACTGTACAACAACTCACATTTATGTAGCTGATAATACTCCCTACAACTGTACAACAACTCACCCTTATGTAGCTGATAATACTCCCTACAACTGTACAACTCACCTTATGTAGCTGATAATACTCCCTACAACTGTACAACAACTCACCCTTATGTAGCTGATAATACTCCCTACAACTGTACAACAACTCACCCTTATGTAGCTGATAATACTCCCTACAACTGTAACAAACTCACCATTTATGTAGCTGATAATACTCCCTACAACTGTACAACTTCACCTGTATGTAGCTGATAATACTCCCTACAACTGTACAACAACTCACCCTTATGTAGCTGATAATATTCCCTACAACTGTACAACTCACGTTTATGTAGCTGATAATACTCCCTACAACCGTACAACAAAACAAATGTCCTGTCAATCATTATATCATCTTTGCACTGTTTTTCCTTACAACCTCTTGTATATAGCTGAAATATATTTTTATTATATATTATACTTATTTAGAATGTATTATATCATTCATATTTTTGCTCTTTGTTATTATATTATATTGTGATGTCTGAGCTTCTGTGTCTGAGTAATTTCCCTTGTCGATCAATAAAGTTTGTCTGAGTCTAAGTCTAATAAAGTGTATCTAGTTGTATTATATGTGTGTATTCTGTTGTATAATGTTTCTCACCTTGGAATAGGCCTGGAGCTGGCTGCCCATCACCTCCAGCCGAGAGAGCAGCCGGTCCTCATCGATCAAGGCCTGAAGGAAACAACACAACTTTAAAGTCACTGCTGCACAACCTCAACCCCTCTGAGGTGGTCATGTAAAAATAGATTTTGTGAAGAAAGTCTGTTGTGTTTGTGACAAAGCGGGGAGCAATGTACAACTAATGTTTTGACAAAATATTATGTTGTTTCTGTTTATTATAAAAGTTCTATATTGTGCAAAATAGGCTCTTGTGAAATTTAAGTCATGTTATAATGTTGTTACCTTAAAAACAGACCTGGAGATGTGTTTTGTTTCAATCACACATGTTTGAGTAATGCTTTATTATTTGTCTGTCTGTCTGTCTGTACACCTCCAAAGATCAAAACACTCTGTTCCACCTTGTGATATCATGAAGCGCTAGTTCTCAAGTTAACAGCTACCTTTTACCTTTTGTTCACTAGAGATGGGCAATTCCAGGGTTGAAATGCTCCATATGATTGTAGAGATGGTGTACGTTTTAAAACACAGTGGAGCACTTCCTGTATTACCACATGGCATCACAAAGTTGAAAGCTTGTTTTCTGTTTGAGAGAACAACTCAGTCTAAATATGCAAAGTTGGTGTCTTAAAAATGTATGAATGAAACAAAACACCACTCCAGGTATGTTTTTTGATGAGGAAACAACATTTTAACATAGATCAGAAAACCGCATAATATGGGCACTTTATATTGTAATGTGTGAGCTACAAAGTCCAACTGATTTCCCTTGTTGATCAATAAAATTTGCCCAAATGTAAGTCAGTCTTGACCTCTATTTGAATACCATATTTTCCACACTATAGGGCGCGCTTAAAAGCCTTTAATTTCATCAAAAAAAGACTGCGCGCCTTATAATCCAGAGCGCCTTACATATGGATTTATTGTGGTGTCATAGTACGACTTTAGTAAACTATAAAGCTGCACCACTTGCAGCATTACGGCTCCTGTACTCAGGAGCATCGCGGAATAATACATACTGTGATTCCTTTTAATATCAAAATATCACCTGTCAAGAGACACGCTTACAACACCCACTTTAAACTCAAGGCTATTATAAAGTTAAAGTGCGAGCTGCGTGGGAGCAGTGGATGAGAGAAGGCGAGCACACATTCACTAAGACAGAGAGACAGCGCCTAGCGACTTAAGCCATGATCTGCCAAAGGATCGTGGACGCCTGGGCTAAGGATCAGTATCAACTGTGGTCCGAGCTTTCACCAAGACCAGAATCATCACTGAACTGCCAGGGAACAGTAACCACACTGACTGGGATAAGGACGAGAGGGATGTGGACGTGCTGGACGCCGTAATTGCCCAACTGTTTGAACAATCATGACTTATTGTGAATACGCAAACAATTTAGCATCTCAGACAGTATTTTCTTTAAGTGTTACAATTGAACAAAGCTGAGAGTTATTGTGAATGCGCTAAATAAAGTTTGACTCACTGTTGTATTTCGTTTAATGTGCCTTATAGTCTGGTGCGGTTTATATGTGAAAAAAGTTCGAAAATAGACCATTCACTGACAGTGCGCCTTATAATCCAGAGTGCCCTGTAGTGCTGAAAATACGGTAAATAAAAACATTTAAAACACAGGAGTCTTTACCTGCCAGCTGCTCTCTGAAGCCTCTTGTGTCGTCGCTAAGAGTCTCTGAAGAGTGGCCAGTTTCTGCTCCAACATCTGCTCTCGGTGTAAGGCCTCCTGAGGAAACGCACAAAACAAATCAGGACCACTATGACACATCTCTTTGACATAGGGCTGCACCATTTTAGAAAATTGTTTGATTGGAATTTTTCTGACAACTCTTGCGATTAGATTCAAGATATACATCAAAAAAGTAGGATTCTGTTCCGATTGCACATTTTAAACAAGAATAACATTTGAGAAAAGACTGAAATATGGCTGCTAAACTAATACAAGAATCCCATGCATTTCAAAACATGTTTGTAGAGGTAGAGATACAAGATTTTCCTATAAAAACAGGATATTTTGATCTTTAAAGAGGACATTCTATTATCTACATCAGACTGGAGGTCAATACCATGAATCATAAAAAAAATAAAAATAAATGAATAACAGCTTTTCCTTCCTAATTCAGAGGTCTGTCTCACGTCAAAATGTTTTGTTATTTAACGGACAATGGTAGAATATTTAAAGATAGCAGTAAAATGTACTTCCCAAGATAATGTGGGACTATTCAGCGGGCCATAGTTTGGACACTCCTGACCTAAATAATCGCCTTTGTAATATGATATTTGCGTTAACTCAAAGAGCGATTTTGATTCACTTTCATTAATAGTGCAGTGGTAATATGAGATCTATCTGTTATTAACCCTTTAAGAAAGAGGTACCTGTAGATACTGGGAGAGCTGGAACAGTTCCTGAGAGTACATACTGGGAGTGTTGGCGGACACCTGAAAGAAAGAGAAAACATGTGAATACAGCAAAAGACTCACATCAGAGGAACAGCTGATGAGTCCAACACAGTACATTTTGTTAACTTTTTCAACGAGGAGTGATGAGACGCAAAACGCAAAATATCAGATTCTTCCTGAAAGCGGCCAGACATGTTCACATCCCCGAGTCATCATAAAAAACTCACTTGGTACAAAGGAGACTGTGAATATATGGCACAGAGGAGGATGTCAGTTTAGTATTCTCCTTGAATAGTTTCAGTGATCCTCTTGAGAATGGACTATTAGTGCTGTTACTGTTTTCAATTATGTTCAACAGAAAGAGTTCACATGTTTACATCTCAAAACATAGATGCAGCTTTTTCACCTAAGAGCTGAGCTGCAACTTTCAGACATCCACTTGAACGAGATAATGATTAATTTGCTTACGGAGAACTAGAATCAATTTTGATGCAGCACAACTGGGTGCAATGTGCCACTTCTAGCCACAACTGAGTCACTGCGAACACGTCAACAATCCAGCGGTCCCAGACAGCACCCTCCCTACCACCCAGAAATGAACAAAGCCGAGAGTCACTGTGAACGCGCCAAACAAAGTCCAACTGACCCATCTAACTGTTGTGTTTTGTTTAAAGTCCAGTGAGGTTTATTTGTGAAAAAAGTTTGAAAATAGACCATTCTATGACAGTGCACCTTATAATCCAGAGCGCCTAATAGTGCGGAAAATACGGTATTTTAAGCAGACACTGTTACTGATGAAATGTTGTTAGGGTCTAATGTAAATAGCTTTCTTAATGTATTTTGTAACCCCAAGAACTGCAGATGGAAAACAGCATATTTTCTCTGAGATTGTTTTAAATAAATAAAATAAAAAACTATTAAAGGCCGTATATTACATAAAATCGTGAGCTTTAATCCATGTTACAATGTTGTTGCCTTACCAAAAACATACCCGTAGTTGTGTTTTGTTTTGTTTTTTTCAATCACACATGTTTATTATTAGTCTGTCTACATCTCCAAAGCTCCAAATACCCCATACACTCCAATGTTCCACCTTGTGATGTCATGATGTTTTAGTTTTCAGCTACATTTTACCTTTAGATCAGTTGAGATTGGCAATTCAAGAGCTGATGAATTGCCAGCCTGTATTACCACATGACATTAGAAGGTAGAACTGCTTGAGAGAAGAACTCAGCCTAAATACGCAGGGTGTTTTTTGTTAAACATGTGTGAATGAAATAAATTACAACTTTGCGTCTGTTGTGATGAGGAAACAACATTAGATCAGAAAATAGCGTAATATGGGACCTTTAAAAAAACTAGATAAAACCATAAATACAGACATATTACCCAACAGGCAGCATACATTAAAACATGAAAATAATTACTGCTAATGTTTCGTAATGTAAAAATAATGAAGCTTTAGTTTTACCTTGTCTACGGGCAGCGGCAGTGGAGTCTGGATGACACTGAAACAGAAGACATACAGGTGTTACTACGACGACAGCAGGGATACGGTAACCACGGCGACATGTTTCTGAAGGTCACATGACTCTACACATCACTTGCGTTTTGACTTTACCGAGTCTCGAGACGACAGCGGGATTTGAGAATGAAATTCAAAAAGTCTTATTTAGTAAACTATTTGTCAGTAAACAGATGAGATTTAGATTTGCCCAAAAAGCAAAAATAATGTTGATTTAAAGTGTTATGTCATGTTAAAATTATGTATTATATTTAAAAAGGGGGCTGATGTATAGCAACCGCAAAACAAACTTACACATACATTGTACAAGCATATACATACACATACATGTGTTACTGACATTTTCCTTTTCCTTTTCAGATAACCGTATATTATTCTATTTTACAGTTTCTTGTGTCCAACAGCTGAGCAGACTACTCCATAGAAATTATATCCAAAAACTAATTTTTACCAATTGTCTATGTCAACGCAGTTATATTACGTTGTTTTTTTGTTTGTTTTTTTTGTATGTGCGTTAGTCTTATATTTTGTTATGTCTTATGTTTATTTTGTTATTACTGTGCTGGGTATGTATCTCAAAATGACAAAAATTATATATAAAAAATACATAAATAAAGTATTATATTAAAATTAGGTCATGTCTTTATTTACTGTATATTTAAAGGTCCTCTTTTACACAAAATGGATTCTAAGTGATCTTTAATGTTATGTTGTTATTACCTCATCAAAAACAGACCTGGAGTTGTGTTTTGTTTCATTCAGTAACCCTTTATTATTAGTCTGTCTTCATCTCCATAGCTCCAAATGGTCTGTTCCACCTTGTGATGTCATGAAGCGGTATTTTTCAAGTTAACAGCTACCTTTACCTTTTTGGTAAATAATTCTAGTGAAGGTGTCTGGAGTTTAAAAACAAAAAAGCTAAATTCTGTACAAAAAAAAACACTTTCTGTATTACCACGTGACATCCCGAGTTGAAGAACTCATGTGAATGAAGCAAAAAACAACTCCAGGTACGTTTGTGATGAGGATACATTATAATAAATCAGAAAATTGTGTAATATGGCCACTTAAATATTAAATGTTTAATTCCTTGCTCTTTCCCTAGGGTCCATTTAGTCCATCAGGCAACGGACAACAGATGAAAAGTAGCTGTCTTATTATACAGTTGTTGAAGGTCTAATAAATAAATAAATAAATACCAACCGTTTCTTTCTTAACAAATACAAAAATTATTAATAAAATTAATACAATTTATGCTTTCTGCTTTTGCACCAAAGCTGCATGGCCAAAAACAGCTCACCTGTAGTTCCAGCAAAATCAGGTCTTTATGGTCAGAGTGGGTCGGAAAAAAACAAAAAAACAACAGACTCAGACTTAAATCTATCTTCAGTAACAAAGCTTCAGACAGAGCAGTGCCTTTAGTTAGCAGCATCACCCCCCAGGGAATGTTGAGGATATCAGCCGTGACCACAATAATATTTATCAAAACAGGTTTCTTCTGCCTTTAACCGTAACAATAAAGACCAAAGGTTGACAATGAGAAGGAGTGGAGGGAGAAAGAGAGAGAGAGGAGGAATGAGAGTAAACAGGTGAAACCTCTGAGTTAATGTATAACTCAACAAGAGCTGTGAGAAAAACACACAAACTTAAATTAAACCAACAGCTACTCATAACGCCTTTGAGTCTTTGAGGACAGCATTAAAGACCTTCACAAGTGGAATACATGTGGGGAAATTATTATTCAACTCTCCAAAATTACTTCTGACTTGTCTTCAAAATACTGTATGAACAAAATGAACATGTTTTGGTTGAATTGTTATTTTTGTATTTTTATTTGTGTTAAAATGGCACCATTGAAAAAGATGGCATGACTCTCTGGTTTCCCCTGTATAGATAAAGAAAAAAAACAAACAAAAAAAAACATATTTAAGAATGTGTGTATGTATGTAATGTATGTATTTTGTTTCATTTATTGAGATTCAGATTATTCAAAGTTATAATATTCTTTTTTAAATTGTTAATCACTACGGTAAATGCTCTAATATTCATTTATCATTCTGGGACCTATGGATACGACGACTACCAAACAAAAATTTCAGCAGGACTAAATCAGAGCTAAACTAGGTATGAGATTGAGGTCTAAAAAGGAATAAACAAAAGACTAAACAAGGACCAAACCAGGAATAAACCAATACTAAAACGGGACTACACCAGGATCTAACAAGGACTAAGTTAGGACTAAGCCAGGACTAAAATCACAATGCCTAAGTAAGCACCAGTAATTTAGACAAGCCAAATCCCATTTCAAAACTGCTTTAAATCAGGACTGGTTAGTGGTACACGAAAGTACCGGCAAACTCCAATTGAAATCAAGACTAAGTTGTAAATGATTAGCCAAATAATAAATCAGTTACCTTTATTTGAGTCATGGGACAAAGTTCACTTTAGGGTCTCATTCAGAGAGTGGGAAATCAGAGCGCTCCCAAAAACAACGTGTCCCACAAACCGCTGATTCACCGTCTGTGCTCCGGCTCAGTCCAAACCAACCCCTGCCACTTTCCTTTCTGCCGTTCCTTCCTTAAAGCTATACCTGATATACCTGTGTCTTGTCCCTTAGCTCCACCCCTGCCGGCTGTCCCTGCCCGCGAACAAACGCCTCACAGCTGCAGATCTGGTTCAGTGTTGCGTTCACTGCTATGGCATTCAAATGGAGCTTTGTAGAACTGGTCTGGGTTTATAGTTTAGTAGTGCCTGATATAGGGCTGGGCAATGTGATTAAAAAGGTATCACATAGTTTTCCCTTCAAATTTGACTCTTTTAAATATATAGTTATTTATTGCAGCAGTAGTTTATTATTTGTAGGGCTGTAACAATATGCACATTTCTCTGTACAATATTTTCACGATATGCATCTCACCTCAGTATGATATTTATTCCAATATTTTGTACTTGAGATTCCATATTGCTCACAATATTATTGAGAGACTTTTGACGATACGATCTCACGATTTTTCTGTTATTGTTACATCTCTATTTATTTGGTCATTTGCAACACTTCAAGTATACAGACTAGGGATGGGCATGATTAGTCGATTAATCGATAATTGATCATTAAGAATTTCATTGACTACGTTAATTTTAATCGACAAACCGAATGTAGGTTGCTGTGCGTAGTGTGACCACACAGGGGTCCGTACATGTAGATCTCTACACTCAGAAGGAGCGAGACACAAACAGTTGGTCATCTACAACATGCCGAAGCGCAAATGCGTATTTAACGATGACTTGTACAAGAAATTCCACATTTTCCATTGCGTTCGGGACAAGTGGGAGGCCATGTGCACAGTGTACAAAGCAGTACATGTTTCGGTGTCCAGTGGGAAAAAGTTTTGCCAGGTGAGAGTAGCGCAATGTCGATGACGAGTCCCAACCTCTCACCCCCCTGTACGGTGTCCTGGTTTTGACAAACACAAATATGGTCACATTAACCTGTATTCCATTGACTTGTGTGGCATCAGCGCACAAGAGCCGTTTTTTTTCTTCGCTTAATTTATGCAAATTAGCCATGAGGTTTTAAGTTTTGTTTCTGTGAGAGTTGCGCAAAGCTGCATTAAACAAATTATAATGTCAAACGGGCTGATGTGGCTCTAGAGTGGTTATGGTTTATATGTCGTAAAGTTGAATTTATTTTTACAGATTAGTAGTGCAGATAGTAATAATAATGATGATAAATTTTAATATAAAAAACATTAATGATTAATAGAAAATCGACCGTTAAATCTCCCGATGATCGATTAAGAAAATTTAATCGAATGCCCATCCCTAATACAGACTACAACTCCAATTGGATCATGACTTGAGAGTTTAAGATGAAGCTGAAGTACATTTAATGCCTAACCCTGGTAAACAGTGACAGAAAAAATAAAATAAAACAAACTAAATTGAATGCAAGTATCATTTCAGAGCTCCATAGTTAAAAAAAAAAAAAAACACTTCATACCACTTTTTAAAGACTTGTATGCTATTGGAGTTTTCATGTCTTCCATACACTAACCCCTCAAACAGAAATACTAGTCTTATATTTTTAAAGGGTGCACTGTGTAACTTGTCTGGTCGAGGGTCCATCATTTGCTTATCTCCATGACGATGTGACTAGAATGTTCCACAGTATGGCCATAAATTTATGAATCTCCATGGAAACTTGCAACCCAAATTACAGGTTAAGGTTTGTGGAGAGGCAAAGAATCACCTTAAGAATGAATGTTTTTACAATATTTTGAGCACTTAAACACCTGTAGCTGAATAAATACAAGACAGATTAGTTTCATGCCATATTGTGGACAATTTAAATCAAAGCATTAACATCTCCATGGAGACAAACTGATTGAAGGCCCATTGAGAAAAGTTTCACAGTGCACCTTTAAATATGCCTATTCTTCTAAGCTTATGCTGACTCTTCTAGCTCAAATAACTCCTGTATAAAAGGAGGGAGCATATGATTATAGGATATAGGATTATATTTTTTATTTTTAACTTTTTCTTCTCAAAATTAAAATAAAAACAGCTTTCAGTACTGATTTAATGAACATAAGACAGACTTTTATTGACTAAACTAGACTTCAAAGGTGAACTATAATATTATATTATATATAACGTTTTGGTTGGGGATCCATCACTTGCTTGTTTCTATGTTATAAGCGGGGTGGCCTCTCCCCAGATCAGACCTGTAACTTGGTCTGGTTTGGTCTCCATGATACCATACTGTGAAACATTCCAGACAAAGCAATAACATCTCCATGGAGAAAATCATTTGACGGACCTTCCACCAGAAAAGTTACACAAATCACCTTTAATCAACACAAATATCGACTAATTTCTCCCTTCACTGCTTGCTTTTACAGACAGAAGATTGGCTGTGGACCTCTCAATTAAAAAATACCCAACCGTATCATTAACTATTAACAGAGTATCACTTAAAAACATGATTAACTGCCCAACCCCGCCCTGTTCCACCCAGTGCATAGTTGTTGTGCTGTATCCTGAAATCAGCTGTCCTGTAAATTGAATGTGGCATGTGAGATTGGTTGGGGTCGTAGAGGTCGATATAACACAAATCATCATCTATCTGTTTTATAGGGACGATCGGGATGATGGCCTAATATTAAATAGCATGATTAAACTCCCAAAAGGCCAAGTTAGATTAAAGATCTCATATTACACAAAATAGGTCTTTAGAGCTTTAAGCCATGTTACAATGTCGTTACCTCCTCAAAAACATAGCTGGAGTTGTGTTTTGTTTCATTCACATGTTTGCGTAATCCTTTATTAATAGTCTGTCTACATCTCCAAAGTCAAAGTCATCATGTAGTGGTAGTTTTCAAGTGAACAACTACCTTTTACTTCAGTAGATATTGGCAATTCCAGGTCTGAAATCATCCAAATTATTCTAGTGAAGATGTATGGAGTTTAAAAACACAGTGGCACACTTCTTATATTACCAAGCACCGAGCATCTTTTTTTCTTTTGTGCTACAAGCCAACCCTTTTGGTCTGAAATGCAACACTGGATGAATTCCCTATTTCCTTCCTTACCAGTCTTGTTAAACTGAGATGCTATCATTTTGGTGTACTACTACAAAATAAAAAAGAAGAACTCTGAGTGAACTTAATATTATGTCTTGCCAAATTTTACATCCACAAATGTAAAGTTGAGAGATGTCCCCCTAACTTTGATTGTTTTAAAAAATGAACTCAAATTATATATAAAAGATCTGAAATATATGAATGGACCTAAACCTCAAAAAGTGTACTCTTACATGTGTGAAATACCCTTGGACTTTATGAACTCAGGCTGAATCAACTCTATTACCCTTGCTATTATCCTTTTCTCTTCCTAAATTCACATTTTATTGTTACTGTATAATATGTTGTGTTTGTGTTCCCTGATCCCAACATGTTGACGACACAGCTATGTTTGTTGTATCAAGTTGATGCACCCAGTTGTGTGCATAAAAAAAAAAAAAAAATAGGATTCAGGCATTCATGAACTACAAAATGCCATTGGGCCAAAAGGCAATTCAAATGTTTTGGAAATAAAAATTAAAAAAATATATTTATAAAAATATTAAAAAATATCCTATATGGCCTTCCACATGACATCAAAATAGAGCATTTTTCTAAACTCAGTCTAAATATACAGGGTTTGTGTGAATGAACTGAGTGAATGAAACAAAACAACTCCAGGGATGTTTGTGATGAGGAAACAACATTACAACAAAATAGTGTCATACGGGCCCTTTAACTATAATAATGTCTGGTTTCTTCTTTAGTTTTGGGTTCACAGTTTCATCATAAAGTTGTTATAAACAGCCTCTTACTCGCTGCGGCGGCGAGCCTCCATCCCGTCTGGAAGGAACAGTTTGATGGTGGACACGATGCAGCCATGAGTCACTGAAACAGGACAGAAAGAAGAGTCAGTTTTCTGTTAGTTAAATGCCCTGTGCCCTTCTACACTTGTATTAGAGAAAAATGCATTTTGCCTGTAAAGAAGTGGACTAAAAGAATGTGAAGTCACCTATAGTGTTCAGCTCCAGCCAAACAAAGATCACCGTGGCTTGCAGTTATGGCGCCAATTTAGAGACGAGTTTCACATTAAGAATAGGAAGTGATTTAGAGACAAAACAGGTAAATAATAAACACCAGGATCATGTAGAGCGAGTTAATACGAACATTTTAAGACCGAAATGAGGAGCCTGACAGCAGCAGTTACAAAGAGAGGGGCGACTGTTTTTCAAAACAAAGTGAATTCGAGCCTGGAGTTGATGGCGTTGTGAAATACACTTATCAACTCAATGTGGGGAATAATTAGGATGCTCTGATCACATAAGTTACATGAGGAATAACTTTGGACCACTGCAAACTGTTTAAAATTAACTAGTTCTGTTTTTCATGTTTTTAAGACAGTAAAAATCAGGTACAGCTCCTTTCAGAAAAATAAGTCTGTTCCAGGGACCGTACCTTTCCTGGTGTTCTCAGTCACGTCGACCCCAAACTGGATGATGTCACCGGACAGGACTTCACACGGGGGGCTCTCCTCGGACCCCCGGCTCAGGCGCTGGCTGTTGATGAAGGTCCCATTGCTGCTCTTAGTGTCCTGGAGGTAGAACTGCAACAAACAAAAATAGACCAGGTGAACAGGGCTGCAGAGTAACTGCAGTGACATCTAAATTTGAGCTGCAATTGTGTGTGTGAATTATCAAATCAGGCTGTATTGTTTAGATCAGTGGCTCTGAAACTTTTCACACGAAATACCACCAAAGCTTTCCGAGTAAACCAGGTCTATAACGGGACTTTTTCCAGGTCTAATCTAGGGCTTAACCAGATCTAAAAGTGGACTACATCATTATCACTGCAGTTCTAAACAAGAAATTATCTAAAGGAGGACAAAAAGTGGATAAAATGAACCCTAAATCAGGCAAACCCACAAACTGAAAGGCAGTCCAAGTACCACCTGAACACCGATACAGATCAGAGAATGTCATTTGCAAAGAGAAATATAGAGGGACAGAGGAGCTCCACCCAAACAGTGAGAGATACAGGACCATATTCATTCCATACTACATAATAACTGTACAACAACTCACCCTTATGTAACAGATAATACTCCCTACAACTGTGCCACCAACTCACCCTTATGTAACAGATAATACTCCCTACAACTGTACAACTCACCCTTATGTAACAGATAATACTCCCTACAACTGTACAACAACTCATCCTTATGTAACAGATAAGCCTTTGTTTCTGGCAATCATCACAGTTTCCTTATTTATATAACTGATATACTGTATTTATGTTCCGATATTTGTTTTTTACTGTACATACATTTATATAATTTAAATCTTATTTGACATCCGTCTCTTTGCTGTTCTTTACTGCTACTTATTTATAGGTTTATTACCATTTTTTATATATATGTTTTTATTTACTCTGTTATTGTAATGTAATGTGGTGTGTGAGCCACTGTGTCCAAGTAATTTCTCTTGTGAATCAACAACGCCTGTCTAAGTCCAAGTCTAAGCAAGTCTGAGCAAAGAACAAATATCCTGTCTTTTAAAGGTCCTATATTACGCAAAATTGACTCTTGTGAGCTTTAAGCAATGTTAGAATGCTGCTGGCTCATCAAAAACATGCCTAGAGTTATGGTTTGTTTCATTCACACATGTTTGAGTAATCTTGTATTATTAGTCTGTCTACATCTCCAAAGCTCAAAATGTTTTGTTCCACCTTGTGATGTCATAGTGATAGTTTTCAAGTTAAAGGCTACCTTTTTAACCTTTTGTTCTGAAATTATCCAAATGATTCCAGTGAAGGTGTACTGAGTTTAAAAACACAGTGGAGCACTTCCTGTATTACCTGTATTGTTTGAGAGAAAAACACAGCCTAAATATGCAGGATTTGTATGTTTAACAAGTGTGAGTGAAACAAAACACAACTTCAGGTCTGTTTGTGATACGAAACAACATGATAACATAGATCAGAAAACAGCCTAATATGGGCCCTTTAATAAACCAAAAAATCTTATGGTACCTGTAGCTTAAACGTCTACAAACTGAAGTACACAAGGTTGTATTAATTTAGAAGTTCACAATTGCGTTCTCTCAAATGTTAACGCATCCAATAAACAAACTTTATATTGAGTAATGAAGACTGTAGTTAGTTTAAAGCTTCCAGACTGGGAAATATAACTTTTTATTACACACAAACTTTGCTGCATCAACAGTAAACTGCCGCCTCACTCCACTGCCAACTGTCTATCAACTTTGCTGCTTCCATCACAAATTCAAACTTAAAAATAACAAAAACATGTAGCTCAATCTGTCCATTTTCAGCATTATTTACCACATCGCAGCTGTACGCCTTTGTTAGCCAGAGTTATAAACAAGGGAACATATCGTACAAAGTGAGTCGAGAGTTCAAGTCAGGACATAACCAGGTCCCGGCATCTCTCTGTCCCATCATTCCAGCTCCCTCCTCCTCCAAAACATTTAGCAAAAATTCCAAATATATAACAATCAAGTAAACCTACCAGTAACCTTTGTAGTAATTGTCATATTTTCGTATTATTTATCATTGTCAACATAGTTCCAGCGTAAGTCTCTATGAAGAAGCAATGTCAACAAACAGCGGTAGTCGATGTCATCCAAAAAACACAGATTAAAACATCATAAACTTGCGGAAAAATGTTAAAATCCAGTTGGGAGTAAAATAGCAATATCCGGTTTCAAATCTACAGACAGAAAACATAGCACAGGTCCACACAGGGGCAGAGAGTTTTTTTTTTTACGACGAGCCGACTCTGCAGACCTGAGGATGCTGAGGCTGACGTTGCCATGGAAACCTGCTCCGGACGTAACCACGGTGACTTTACCCCGGCAACAACACACACACACACACAAGCATGACGTCATCCTGAACTTTATTTCATTCATAGATTCAGAAATGTTATAATGTCTTGATCACTAAATACAACGATACAAGGATGAAACGATATTCTATAAAAATGTATTTATTTAAGATTTATTTATTTATTGTACTGCCTGATACGAATTTCCTTCAGGATAATTAAGTATTTCTAATTTAATCTAATCATTTGTACTTTGATAATTGTAATCATTATCTGGACTACACAGTCTAAGTCACAAATGAAATCACCTTTTTTTATAGCAAAGACAGTGTCATTATTGAAAGGTGCAGCACTGTGTAACTTTTTGGTCACCTTCTTGTTTCTACGGATATTTCATGGCTTTGCTTAGAATCTTCCGCAATGCGATATTAAACACGTCTACTTTACATTCATTCAATAACAGGTGGTTTTATAACAATTAGGGATGGGCATGATTAGTCGATTAATCGATAACTGATCATTAAGAATTTCATCAATTACGTTCATTTTAATCGACAAACCAAATGTAGATTGCTGTGAGTAGCGTTCGTACATGTGTCTCTCTGCACTCAGAAGGAGCGAGACACAAACAGTCAGTCAGCCTGCAACGTGTCGAAGCTTAAATGCGTATTTAACGATGACTTGTACAAGAAAGTCCATGCTTTCCATTGTGTTCGGGACAAGTGTGAGGCCATGTGCACAGTGTACAAAGCAGACACATATGTGTCGGTGTCCAGTGGGAAAAAGTTTTGCCAGGTGAGAGTCGCTCAATGTCGTTGACGAGTCCCCACCTCCCACCTCCCGTACGGTGTCCTGGTTTTGACAAACGCAAATATGGTCACACTAACCTGTATTCCACTGAGTCATGTCTTTTAATCCAACAGAAGTTGACCGCATCAGCGACACAAGAGCTATATTTTTATTTTCGCTTAGTTTATGCAAATTAGTGATGTGGTTTTAAGTTTTGTTTCTGTGAGAGTTGCGCAAAACTGAATTAAACACATTATAATGTCAAACGGGCTGATGTGGCTCTAGAGTGGTTATGGTTTCTATGTCGTAAAGTTGAGTTTATTTATGCAGATTAGTAGTGCAGATAGTAATAATAATGATGATCATTTTTATATAAAAACGTTAATGATTAATCAATAATCGATCGTTAATTCTTCCGACGATCGATTAAGAAAGTCGCCTTTCCACAAATCTGACCTGAAGCGCGGTCTGGTTTGGTCCCCATGATCTTAGAAAAGTTTAATGCCATACTGTGAAACATTCTGGACAAAGCAATAACATCTCCATGGAGAAAAGTATTTTACAGGCCCTCCACCAGAAAAGTTACACAGTGCACCTTTATATCAAAATGTCAAAAACAAATAAACTATTTCAGATTTTCAACCATAAGTAAACATATAAACTTTTAAACATAGTAAAGTAGTAAGGTAAGTAAGCTCTATAAATCTTCAGTCACCATATTTCAGCTTTTATTTGGTTGTCAATCTGTAATGAAAGAGGGAGTATTTTACTTCTATCGGGTATTAATTGGTAACACATAACATTTAGATCACCATGTTATCATTTACTCTCTCCCATCCCTTTGCTCTCCGTGCTAAGTCACTCCCCCTTCAGAGAGCTATCACAACACAATCAGCGTGCATCCTGCCAATGAAACTACTGCACATCTCATCAGGTTTATAAAGTTTGTAGCATAATTCTATCATGTTTTTGTGTATTTATAGAGAGTTGTCGTGTGGGAGCATGGGTGACATAGGCTTGTGGGCGGAGCACTGCCCAAAATCATACAACTAACTGTAAGGACAATTCTAAACAGGGCTTGGGAGAGATTGCCAAATTATCCAAACATGCATGGATGACATCTAAAACCTCTTCAGATATGTTTTTGGATGAGGGAATAACCTTATAACACAGTAGAAAGCTCCAAAAAGTTGATTTCGTGTGATACTTCAGTGTCCGAAATAAGCACTTGACTAGTCAGCGTTTAATTTTCCGATAAATCATCAGGGAAATCAGCTGGAAAATCCCCCTGCCTGGAAGGTCCCCAAGCTGGACAGTCCCCCTGAAATGTATCATTTATGAAACTAAGGCCTCGTCCACACTAGTACGTACGAGTCGTTTTCGTTGTGGATGCAATGTTCGTCCACACTCATCAAATTGAAAACTGCTCCAGAGACAGAATGATCTGGTGTTGTCAGCTCCCATGAATTAATTTGAGCATGGATCTGATCCGGCACTGTGTGGATGCCTGAAAATACTGATACACTGATGTAGGTCTATGCGCAGAGAAGTAATTCACCACCAAAACCCAAAGAGACTAGAATATATGTACATTCATATATACGGTCTATGTGTACGACCTGCAGACGTATCGTCTCTGAAAAGTTTCACGTGAACCATCTCCAATGATCGAAGCATAGAACAGACTCACCATCAGCAGAACACCCCTCTGTCACAGAAAAAACACATAATCCACTGAGTCATGTCCTTTTGTCCGACAGAAGCTGAATCGCATCAGCGCAGAAAAGCAAACTGTTTTTTGAGCGCTCAGTTTATGCAAATTAGCCGTACAGTTTTAAGTTTCATTTCTGTAAAACATAAACAAATATGCTCAAAGCTGTGTGGATAGGGAAGGCTTGCAGACACAGAAACGTGTCTGGGCGCCAATCGTTTCTGATACCGTGATACAGTGATTCGTTTCAGTGTAAACG